GGGTTATTAAATGTGTCCATGCACATATTTTTATCCATTGTTAGCCCTGACTAAATGCACGCAAGGGCACAGAATTGCCCCCTGTTTCACTCCATTGTTGCCCATATTTGTTAAAGAAATTATTCCCCTTGACATTTGTTTAGGCTGCACTTTGATAAAATGCTGTCCATGGTCCGCTTTCTTAGCTTGGCATTCAGCAGGCTGTTATAGATTTATTTCTCTTTGCATTATCTTATCTTCCTTCCTAGCGTTTTGAGGCTCCCTTTTTATATTTTAAGCTGCCTTTGGGGGCATAGCCAGATCACCTCAGTAGTTGTGCACTGGAACATTGCAGTTTCTAAGGATAAGGTGGCAAGCCTTTGGCATATCCTAAACCTCACTAACTCTAAAGATGAGTATGTATGTTCTCTCTGCATTGTCTGTGAATAAGCAAAGAGGGCAGATTAAGTGCTGAACGCGATTTCAGGCTCATGGGACACTTTCTTCAGGTCAACGCAACAGTAACAATTTCTGAAGTGATGTCCATCTGGCCTTGGATCTAGAAGGTGACTCACCTGCTGGGGAAAAGAATGAGGATTTTTCTTTGTGTTTCCAGTTTATATCCAAGTGCCCTGTCCCTCATGTCTTTTGACACAGCACCTCTTTTATTTTCCCAATATGGGAAAGGCTGGATCACAATCCCTGTTGGAAAAAGGAAAAGCAGGAAGATTCGATTTACATTTCTTAATTTATTCCAGTGTTTGCTATTTTCTCAAAATAGACCTCAGTATTTTTTTCAGTAAAGTCTTCATTATTAGATGCTCTAAGTATGTATCAGCTAAGAGGCTATGGGAATTGTAAAGGTATAGAATATGATGTTCAGAAATCCTCAACCTAAAAACAAACAAACAAACAAACAAACAAAAAACACCCTGACATTTAAAGCAGAGCTAATGAAAGTCCATAGCTGCAGAATTAGCTCTCAGTGATCTAAATTATTAGTTAAAATGCATCATCTTGATAGTTCTTAAAAATTTATTTTATAAAGCTTATTTCTTAAAAAAATTAATATGTTGATTCTGATACCCTAGAATTAAGAGTTTGCTCTACCTGGCATTTCTGTAGAAATAGGTAATGGCCAGACATAGCTTTAAAAGCATCATAAATTCATTCTAAGTATGAAAATATCATCTTTGTCTAGTTCTATATACTTTTATTACCTTCTGGCAATTACTCTTTGATTTTAAATAGACTAAAATTATTAAATGTATAGTTCAATCAAGGTATTTTAGGGTAATTTTTCATTAATAAAGGTCAATATTTAAATGAGGGTTTCAAAATAGATGTAATCCTTCTTACACTAATTTTATACAGAGTTCTATCAATCTAAGTAGACTTGTTACTTATAAAAGCAGACAAAATAAAACAAAATAAAAAGGACACTGAGGAAAAGATTATGAAGAACAAAATTGATTATTTTATATTTATATTAATATTGATGAGTGTTTTTAAGTGTACTTTTATAAAAATGATTTCAATGTGGCTAGATTTGGGGCTGTATTTAGTAATAACATCTGTAAAGAGTTAGGAATTGATATGTTTTTATATGATCAATAAAAATTTGATATTAGAAATTAATGTATTGGAACTTTTGATAGTATTATAAGAGGGGAAATATATGTTACATTCTGAAAATACTAAATTATGGGATTATAGGGCAAACGGAGTTTAGAAGGCTCATTCTTTAGGTTAATGATGACTTTTAACTTATTAAAATTATATGATTCTGAATTTTGACCTGAAAGAGAAAAATGGGTTTAAAGGGGCCATCGGACTAGGAATATAGAGGTGGACATAGGGAGCCTGCCTGGAAGATTGTTGCAGCTGTCCTAGTGGGAATGATGTGGACTGTACCAGACATGTGTGAAATGTATGAGAGGATGTGTGTAGGCACTCACCTGTGCATATAGAGCCAAAGGGCAAAGAAAACATAAATGCTTTGATTTTAAAATGAGCAAATTTTACATCTGCCAAGTATTTGAAGCATGTTCCTGTAGTTTACTTGGTGACTGAAAGTTTGTAAGTTTCATTTACAGTTTTTTAGACTTTGTGGAAAGGAAGAACTATGCAAAAAGGGTGCATACAGAAAAAAATTAAAAATAGCCTATTCATTTTACCACTATGAGAAAAAGACTGTTGGCATTTTCTTCCTGTTTTTGTTTTTTCTGGGAATAGAATTTTATGTTTTGGGATCTTATTCTGTAGATATTTGCATGTCAAGAACTGTGAAGGGTCTGAGGTTTTCCCTATGGTATGCTAAGTGGTCAGCCTGGTTCACTATCATGGATGCAGGCAGCAAACCAAAGACTTTTAGGTCAGAGAAAAAGGACTTTATTGCTCAAGGTGAAGACAGCAACATTAGCATATTTATGTCAATTCTCCATTCCCCAAGTTTCATGAAGGCAAAGTAGATGGGCCAGATGAACAACTACACCTGCAGTGGGTTGCATTAAAGGAGGGCAACCCTGATCTTAGGGAGCCCAATTCTTTTATAATGGGCAGCAACATGCCTGCCCTTTATGCTGGAAGGAGACACTATTATACAGGGCTGTAAGCATGGCTAGTCTTTGATCCTAACAGATACACCACCTCTATCTTCCAAGGTTATTTATTATACAAACATCCTTTAAAAAATGTGAGAAAAGAAGATAGTGCCTATGCTCATGAAGAGTGTGCAAAAAATAGGAGACTCATGGAGAATTGTCTCTCAACAAACAACTGTTTTCACATATTAAGTTATTTTTCATCAACATTTTACATGTGTGTTTGTAGCTGTAAAGAGTGAGTTATAGGGATGTAGCATGATTTGCTATCAACTCCCAATTTTCCCAATGATTTTAAAGGTTTTTTTCCATTGAAAAATTTCACTTGAACATTTTCATTTGGGGCAGAGTGTGGTGAAATATTGCAGTCACCTTGGGTGTGTTGTAGCTAGGTTGGAGTAGAGATTTGAAGTCCATGCAGACTCTTCAGCTTGGAGTTATGTATAAATATGCATCGGCCATCAGCAACAAGCATGTCTGTTGTCTTAGGATGCTACCCAGAAAGAGACTGGCTGTGTAAAGCTAGATATTAATGCTGCTATTCATAGTCCAGCCTGTACTGGTTTTCTTCTGGAAAGTGGAGATATCTCCTGACATTTTTTTTTTATATCTTTTATTGATTTTTTTTTTTTTTTTTTTTTTTTTTTTTTTTTTTTTTTTACAAAGAGGAAGGGAAAGGGATTGTGACACAATGGCTGTGACAAGACTTCCCTCAGTGGAAAGGAGAACTAAATAAAACCCACCAGAGGAACCATTTCCTAGTTAATAATGGTCCCAGAAAATTCCAGATTAAAATCTGCAATGGTTGTTGCAATAAAATTGGACTGTTAAAATTAGAGGAGTCAACTTTTAACACTTTTCTGAATAAGCAGTGACCAGAGAGTAGTCAGGAGTAAACTCATTGTCTTTATTTTTACGTGAAAAGAGTTGTACATGTCGTTGTCAATGTTTTTGAGAAGTATAAAGTGAACTTCTCTATTGCTTGAGCAAACATTTTAGACATATACTATGTGCTCTGCCAGAAGCTGGAGAACTAGGGTGCCTAAGACCAAGAAGCTTCCCCTTTCATGGAGTGTCAAGCAGAGAAAAATCATCAATATCTAAGATCCTTTCATTTAGTAAAGAGTTGTATAAAACAAAACAAAAAATGCCAGGGTAATGTAGACGGCCAGCGGCTTGGGCACAAGGTGTCAGGTGGAGAGACACTGCCAAGGAGAGCAGCGGGAAATGGCTTGTCTGAAGTGGATACATTGGAGCTGAAACCTGAGGGATAGGGAGCTGCGAGGTGAGGCCATTCCAGCCAGAGGCAATGGCAAGACAAAGCTTATGAGGTGAGAACAAGTGTAACATTTTCAAGGACTAGAAAAGAGTTCAGGAACAAAATGTGCTGGAGCCTAATGATTGAGGAGGGAGAAATGGAAAAAGATGACCTCACAGAGGTGGTTAGGGCCAGTTGGTGTAACGAGTTGCAGGCATCAGTAAAGGCTCTGGATGTGAAGTCTAATGAGTGATGCAATGGATTTTTCATGCAACCGGGTGATGGAACCCGGACTTAAAATGTTTTTAAAGATTATTTGGCCTCCATCCATACCAGGGAGACTTGTGAATGAGCAATGTGAATAGATGCTGGTGGTTGGGAAACATTTCCTACCAGTAGATTAGTTTAGATAAGGAATGTATGAGGTTGTTGATTGGTTCTGGGTAGAGAAAGAAGGAAAGAAATCAAGGACGACTTTAGGTTTGGGGCTTGGGCTACCTGGTAGATGGTGCTGTGATTACTGAGATATGGAATACTGAGGAAGAAATGATTTTTGGTGGAATGACAAGAAAACCTCACTAATTGCATTGAAAATGGGAAGGGAACCCTAGTAAATATCTCTGCCTGCCTTCAAAAAGAAAGCATACAGGAAAATATTATAATTGATACTGAACTTGCTGCCCAGTTTTGTTTGGTTGGCTTAGAACATTACCTGGCTAATGGATGGATGGATGGATGGATGGATGGATGGATGGATGGATAGATGGATAAATGGATGGATGGATGGATGGTTAGAGAGATGGATGGATGGAAGGAAAGATGGACAGGCATATTGATGAATGACTTGATGGGTAAATGGGTAGATGGATGAAGGTGTTTTAAAAGCAAATGTTCATATGGACTCCCTCCATTTCTTATATGCTGTTATAGCTGCGAAGCCATTGAAAGTCACCTCTCTTAGAGGATACAGTGTGTGGTCTCAGGAATTCTGACCCACACAACTTTGTCTATTCTGAGAGTCAAGGAATTAGTTTGTCTTAAGCATTATCCATAATTCCTTCTCATTGAGACAATACTCCGTGGCTCTTTTTGGTTATAAATGACAAACGGTGTTTTCCCCCACTTTATACAAATCATCACAATAATTTTTATCTTACCAGACAGGAAGCGCTGCTTGCGGCAATCAGTGAGAAAGATGCAAACATCGCCCTGCTGGAACTGTCTGCCTCCAAAAAGAAAAAGACGCAGGATGAAGTGATGGCCCTCAAGCGGGAGAAAGACCGACTGGTGCACCAGCTAAAGCAGCAGGTGGGGCCTCCTGCCCGTCAGGTGTGTTTTGCTGGGTTTGAGCCGCTGGGTGCTTCCTGTGGGTTTAGCAGCTCTTCATTTTCCCATGTCCATCCTGCAGGCGCAAGCAGCTGAAAGCAGGTAGGAGCAAAATGACCTGAGTTGTCACTGGAACACCATCTTACTGCTTCTCCGTGTGGGCTGCATGTGCCTGGCCTTGTGTGGTTTGCAACCGGCGCTGTTTTCCTTTCTTTTGTGTTAGCCTCATCTCCCCAGAAATAGCTCTCAGCTCTCTTCCTTCCAGTGGACTTTGTGTGACTTCTGACTAAATCCTAGGAACTACTAATTAAATTCTGGGCACATTCTCTCCCATTGGACCCGTTATCTTCTGTCTTGCTCACTCTCTGGGCCTATAAATAACTTCCCTCATCCAGTTCTTTAGATTTCTTTCTCACCACACTTCCAGCCTTGGCTCTTTAACCGTTTCCTCCTGGACCTTTTGGCCGAGGGACATCTCCCAGCCCCTGGCACCGCCAGGCTATGCTTGGAGTCCTCCCGGACCAGTATTTAGTCTAATATTTTTTTTATCACCTGTTGACCTCATTACCCTGATTTTCCTCCTCACTAGGCCACTGTACTTCTTCTGAGGGAAAAGGAAGGAGGGACAAAGTCCTAATTTGTGCAAAAAAAAAAAAAATTGTTTGCTTTCTGGACGGTCTTCTGGAAGTGGCTTCCATGGAAGTAATTGCACCTGAAGCATGTTGCAAAGTCATCCCTGAACTCTTCAGGCATTGTTTCTCCTCTGTATAACTCGGGAGCTTTTGGAAGCAATGGTTCAAATGTTCACTCAGATCCTAGCTTCATTATGAAACCTAGCAACTTATGGCTCAATGCTCTGTGGTCTCACAAGGTGGCTGCCACATGGAGTGTGTCCACATTGATGTCAGCCCCCAGGACTGGCCCGCTGCCTGCTAGGCTGATCTGGGCTGAGCACAAGGTGCAAGGTGAATGGAAGGGAAGCTCAAAGGCTTACGTCCCTTCTCCTCACAATTGGGCCAACCCTTCCTCATCCGGAAGGAAAAGGCATCCTTTGGCCCTGAACCAGAGGCCATTTCTCATGGGGCTGCCTTGCCGAACGAGAGGGACCACCACCATGCCTGGGCACCTTCTCCTGCAGAGGGAGGGTCCCAGGCACTGCCAGTCATGGGGGTCATTCCACAGAGCGGCATGCCTTGCTAGTGCTGGCCCCGGGGCTCGGGGGCCGCTTCCATCGGACCTCTTGTTTGGGGCTGTGCATCTTCTACACTGGGGTGTTCACCCACTTGGCCACAGAAAGTCAAGATGAGCCTCCTTCTTTAATTTCTCCTAGCTCCTTCCCCGTGCGCCTGCATCCTCCCCTCCTGCACCTAACCATTGTAGCTTTCTCCCACAGGTTTATAGACCTAGGAAACAGCCCCTGAGCTCGAACATACCATGCACTTGTGATGCTTGCTACAGCCCAGATATTACGGCCAAGTACCACGGGTCCAGCTACGATGCACACATGATCCAAAGGTCTCAGGTCAGTCAGTGGCTAAGGAGACACTTGCCCCGCCATGGAGGGTGGGGGTGCGCGAGAGCCACATCCTATCTTGACCTTCACCTCTTCTGGTGATTTCCAGGACTTGGTAGCCAGGAAGTCTGGAACCATAAATGATAGCATTATGTGTTAATTTGTAATGTAACTTCATTTATTACACATTTGCCCAGGGTTCCAGACTTGCTGCGCCCCCTACAGGGCCAGCCCCTCTGAAATGGTCCTGCATCACTGCAGAGCTAAGGCTGCCAGAGGCCTCCTGTCAGGCATAGCGGACGAGGTTTATCTTTCTGTCTCTTAGATCCTGCCCTCCTTCTCCCCTCCCATATATCCCCGTGCTTTTCCCAATACGGGTTTTTTTAAGGCTCCTTTGTTTCTTGCTCACTATCATGGAAATGCATGATTCTGAGCATAGGATTCCTGGAAGGGTTGAGTGTAGGCCTTAAGTGTGCTCTTGAGAAACCACACAAAGCCTTCATTCTTCACGACAGGCTTGGTTTTGGGTGTTGTGGGGCACATTTGGGAAACCCCAGCCATGCAGAATTAGGCTCCTTCCTGGGCTGAGGCAGGTCTGAAAAGCTGTTGTGGGGAAAGAGGCAGCAAAGGAGGAGGATGGGCTCCTCGGTGGTGTAGGTTTGAAAACTGCGCCCCCCCCCCCCCCCCCACACACACACCCTCCCTGCCACAGAGCAAGGAAGAGCACATCCATGTTTGTATTCTTATAAATGGTAATGATTCTAAGAATAATGATCCATTTGCGCATGAAGCACCCTCTTTTTACTGAGTGTTTACTCTATGCCAGGATGTGTCCAGTGTCCAGAGGATGCTGTCTTACCATCCTCTCAGTAGCCCTGTGGTGTGGGTACCAGGATTACATCCCTTTTCTAGGAGCATACCTGAGATTCTGAGTGTGGAAGAACCAGCCCAGGACATACAGCTTTAAGCAACAGAGCTCGGGTTTGGTTTGGGGTGGCCCACCTGAGTCCGTCCACACATGCCCCACCAGGTTCAGGAAAGAATTCAGAGTGGCAAGCAGAAGGGAATTGCAGAAAGTGTGAGATCCCCTTACCTTTGTAAACCTGGATTTAGATGCCCAAATCCCCACTTAAGAATGTTCTCCAGCCATTCACCAGGAGTGGGTTCTGCCCAGAGCTCTTAGACTTCGGCTCTTGAATCACATCAGTAATTCCTAATACTTTTGGCTCTTATCATGCTCCAGGAATGGATCTGAGAGCTTTACACACATACACTCATGAGCTCCCAACACAACTGAAGGACTGATGCTCTTACCAAGAAGAGGTCCAAAAAGGTCGGGTGCTGTGCTCAGGCTTTATAGCTGGGCACTCTGTGATGCCTGAACAGACCCTTTGCCACACAACCATAAATGGATCTTGCAAGTGCTATCTGGAGTGAATCTGGCTTCTAGCTCTTGTTACCTGAGCAATCCTGGCAAGATACTAAAACTCCCTGCACTTCAGTTTTCTCATCTGTAAACTGGGCTAATAACCTAATGCAATGGGTTGTTGTGAGATGTAATGAATATAGAAGTGCTTTGTGTATGACTAGCACATAACAGGTGCTACTTATTTGTGAGATGTTCTTGCTATTACTACTGCTAATAATAACTGGTTTTATCACTACCAACCCTCAGAGACAGCTTGGTTTTGACCTCATTGTCGCTGCTTTTTACATGTCTGGGAGTCACCACTCATAGAGCACAGTTAGGAGAAAATACTGTGGAACTGTGGGAGAAAGAGCATATAGGTGTCCTCCCAACCCTCAAAAACAGGCTCTTGGGGAGCAGTGTGCAGGCAAGTCAGGAATTCTAGACCTCAGCTTCCGGCATGGACTGAACAAGCTTATTAGTAAATTTACTTGGTTTGTGTATCCAGCCCACATAGACATCCATAAGATGTCTATGGGAGGGAAGGTCCCAGACCTCAGTTATCATCACCTGTGTGACTGGCTTGAGTGAGTAGAGCTGTTTTAGGCATCCAGGCTAACTGGAGAGAAAGCCATGGATGTGGGTATTCATCTGCCTGATGTTCTGCAAGCATGCTGAGGCAGACTGAGTCACGAGGTGTCACCCTCTTCAGACTGCCTTTTGAGTTTGTTTCATCTCATGCAGGTCTCTGCACTGCTCATGGCATTCCCAGCGACTGGAGATGAATAGCTCCTACAATAATCCCCATAGTTATTGCCCTTTGCGGAGCACATAGTAAGATTTGGAACTATTTATTGTGTGAATGAATGTCCACATGCCACAAGTACTTTATGTATATGTGAGTTTACAAACATTATCTCACATTTTCCTCATAATCAACCAACCAATGCATCGCATACCTATATGTGCCAAGTCTGTGCCAAGTGCTGGGGATTCATACATATATATATATTTATTTATTTTACCTGCCCCAATGAGAAAAGCATCACCCTCATTTTTGAGTTCATCAAACCAAGGCTCTGAGAGACCAGCTGACTTAACTACCATCATACCTCTCATACCTAGCAGTACAGGGTTGTGCCCCACTGCTGTCGGAGTGCCAGTGCTTTGCTTTTAGCTGGCTAAATACTCCCTCCCTATGGCAACACTGTGGGCCATGGATTAGTCCCCTCACAGAAGCCATCAGAGGAGCCTATTTCCAATGCATCAGCCTGCGCCTCCCAAGCTGCCCAGGGGCACGAGAATGAGCAGAGGTGGGTAGCTTGGCCAGACCAAGCGCCACACTGGACTTCCACTCAGCAGCTATTCATTACGGGTGTTTTCTGTGTTAACATGCTAGGCATTTCTGGAATACCTCAGTGACAAAATAAAGTCCCCATTCTCATGGAGTTTCATTTTTTAATGGGTAGTGGGGAGAAAAGCAATAAATCATGAACATAATTAACAAGTAAATTATATTATAGAAAAAGAAGAGTACAGACCAGTTTAAGGGAGAACAGGCATTCCAGAGTAGGACCGATGGGCTGGTGACACTGCAAAATATGGTAGACAGGGTGAGCCTCCTTGGGAAGGAGTCATTTGGGCAAAGACTGGAAGGGGGTGAGAGAGTGAGCCCTGTGGCTGTCTAGGGGAAGAGTGTTCTGGCAGAGAGAATAGCCAGTGCAAAATCTTCTAAGTGTGGTATATTTTGGAGCAGATAATTCCTGCAGTTAGAAAGCAGAATTCACCAGCCATGCAACCTTAAAACAGGGGGGAGTCACTTTTGGGTACCACTCAGAGAGCTCTGTTTAAGGCTGCCCAACTGAGCCTACTCTCCAAATCCCCCAGCCCCAGCTCCAGCCTCCAAGGAATCCCAGAGCTCAGTTTGCATTTTAAAAAACATTGCCACACCCTGGCTGGTGAGGCTCAGGTGGTTGGAAATTCCTCCTGTACACCAAAATGCCATGGTTTGATTCATGTTCAGGGTATATACCCCGGTTGTGGTTTTGATCCCAGATTGGA